CTACTAGGATGGCTTATTAAAAAAAGTGTTGGACACAGGGAGGGGAGCATCACACACTGGGGTCTGTCGTAAGGCAACAGGGGAGGGACAGCACAGGGTGGGGAGTTGGGGAGAGATAGCATGGGTAGAAATGCCAAATATAGGTGATGAGGAGGAAGGCAGCAATTCACACTGCCATGTGTGTACCTATGCAACAATCCTGCATGTTCTTCGCATGTACCCCAAAACCTAAAATGCAATTAAAAAAAAGTGTTGGGACCTTCAAATACTTGTACAAATGTTTGCAGCAGCTTTGTTCACAATAGTCAACAGGTAGAAACAACGCAAGTGTTCGTAAACAGATGAATGGATAAACAAATTGTTGTATGTCTATAAAAGGGAATATTATTTAACTAGAAAACAAAATAAATTATAAATACATGCTACAATACAACATAGATGAACCTTGAAGACATGCTAAGTGAAACGAGGCAGACAGAAAACCTCAACTATTGCATGAGTCCATTTATGTGAAACACCTAGAATAGGCAAATTCGTAGAGACAGAAAGGGGCACTGGAGATTAACAGGGGCTGGTGGGAAAGGTTAATGGAGAGTTATTGCTTACTGGACACAGAGATTCTGCTTGGGGCAATGAAAAATTTTGGAAATAGATAATGGCGATGATTGCACGACATTGTGAATGCAATTAATGCCGCTGAATTATACACATATTGTTAAAATGGAAATTTTCATATATATTTGGTAACAATTTTTTTTAAAAAAGAGCTGACTCTAAGTACGGTGACTTTAAGTAAAGTGACTATAAACTCCAGAACAGTTCACATTTACTACTGTTGTATGGATTGTAATTATTGATAGTATACCCCTAGACTCGCAAAGCTATCCCAGTTTGAACAGTAAACTATACAGTCACCCAGTCTCTAAGTTTTCATTGTGAACGGTTCTGTAATCCTAACCTCGGGCATTAGGACCTTAGAAAGGTTTTGCGATGACATCACCTCTAGAAAATCAGAACCCACTGGCCTCCAGGGAAATGGAGGCGGGGTAGAAGATGTGTGCACGTCACACAAACGCCCAGCTCCCACGTGAGAATCATTTCAGTGGTAAATCACCTGTTTACTTCGGGTCCCGAGAGCCCACGACTAAAGGGAAACACTTGCAGAGTGTGTGGGATGGAGTCAGCGGCGGCAAAAATAGAGAATAGACCCACCCTCCCCTAACTCGCCACACTCATTATGGCCGCCGGCGTCTAAGTGGAGAGGGAGCGCGCCTCCTCCCGCAGCTCCAGAGGGGCGGGCCCTGGGAAACCGAACGAGCTTCTGCGGACCAATGGGGAGAGGCAAGGGGCGGGGTTGGCCTGGGTCATCTGCCGGAGGACGGTGAGGTTGACTTGGACCGGCGCGTTTTGTTGTGCCGCGGTTGCCACGTTATTCCCAGCTTTTGAGGTCGCTTTTGCCTGGTCGTGTGCCACCGTCAGCGCTTCCGGGTTAAAGTCCTGCTGAGCTGACCAGATCCCATCCCACCCAGTGCTTGTCCCTCCCTTTCCTAGCCAGCCCGAGTCAAAGCCCTGTTGGCCCCTCCCTCTCCTTTGAGATGACTCATCTGTGAATGCCAACATCGCGGTATATTGGTGGCTCCAGCTGTGGCCTGACACGTTGGAACTTAAAACCCTTTTTTTCTGATTATAAAAATATATGGATATTTTGGGAAATTAAGAAAAGCGTAATGGAAATAAAAGTGATTTACTGTCCTATCAGCCAGAAACAATCATGATTAACTTTTGTCTTTCTTTTTTTCCCTCTGTGTATCTATTTTAACACAATTGGGACAATGCTGTATAAGCTATATATTGTTTGCATATTGTTTGTCCTTGTAATTTTAAATGAATGCATAGGATTCATTTAAAGTAGTCCATGGATGAATGTACTATAATTTTTTATATTTTCCCATTGAGCATTTAAACTAAACTTTGAAGCCTGGCACGGTGGCTCACACCCTGTAATCCCAGCACTTTGGAAGGCCAAGGCAGGCAGATCACTTGAGGTCAAGAGTTTGAGACCAGCCTGGCCAACATGGTGAAATCCCGTCTCTACTAAAATTACAAAATTAGCTGACTGTGGTGGCACATGCCTATAATCCCAGCTACTTGGGAGGCTGAGGCAGGAGAACTGCTTGAACCTGGGAGGCAGAGGTTGCAGTTAGCCAAGATCACGCCACTGCACACTAGCCAGGCAACCAGAGTTAAACTCCATTTCAAAAATAAATAAATAAATAAATAAACCAAACTTTGAGTGGACAGCCTCTTGGAGGTGGAGCAGGTTAGGAAGGAGAGACAGCTAAGAACTGGCTATTCCACAGCTTCACCCTCCCTTTGCAAAGTTGCTCTACGAGAATTACAAGATTTTAGTGTCTTTCAACACTAGGATCTTAGGGTTCTAAAGCAGTACAATTGAGAAACTCAGAATCGTTAACATCTTGGGCTGGTAAGGACCTCTGAAAAAACAAGTCCAAGCCTCTACCAAATAGTTTTACTCTAAAAAACAAAACAAAACAAAAACTGTCTCTCATAAAAAAATACAAAAATTAGACAGGCGTGGTGGTGGATGCCTGCAGTTCCAGTGACTTGGGAGGATGATGCAGGAGAATCACTTCAACCCGGGAGGCAGAGGTTGCAGTGAAACAAGATAATACCACTGCACTCCAGCCTGGGCCACAGAGCAAGAGTCTGTCTCAAAAAAAGAAACATAGAAAGAGAGAGAGAGAGGAGGGAGGAGGGAAGGAGGAAAGGAAGGAAGGAAGGTAAAGAAAAAGAAATTTCTAAGAGGAGGTGTGACAAAAATCAAATGGTAATAGTAATTCCCGTAGGGCTATACAGCTGAGCATATAGGATCGTTCTTCTTGAGGCCAGAACAGTTTTCATGCCAAAATAGCATTATCAACTCAAGAGTGACTTGTTTTAAATGACGAACTGAGTTATTTTGGTGCTAAGGAGCAGGTTATCTCAAGTGGTTTAGGGTAAAAGTTTGTTGTGCATTTCATTATAACAATATGCATGTCGGAGGGCCCTGAGATGCTAAGCAGCCCAATTTCAGAAAGAGTTAGGATTCAAAAAGAGGGTGGTTCTGGATTCAAGAAAGGGTAGGGACCACAACAAAGGTGGAAGGTCTGGTTTTCTTGCAGCCAGACTTAAAGCATAATCTATTCATTCAAACTGAGGCTCAGTTTCAACATCTGTAAAATGGAAATAACCATACAGTTGTTTTCTAACTGGATCATTAACAATGTATGATGGTACAATGAAATCTAAGACCATTATAGGACAAGTTTCAAGCCTGTAATCCCAGTACTTTGGGAGGCAGAGAAGGAAGGATCACTTGAGCCTAGGAGTTGAAGGTCAGCCTGAGGAACATAGCCAGGCCCCATCTCTAGTAAATGAATAAAGTAAAATAAATAAATACATAAAACCACTAAAGATAAAAGGGTTCAGGCACCGTAGTTCAAGTCTGTAATCCCAGCACTTTGGGAGGCCAAGGCAGAAGGGTCACTTGAACCCAAGAGTTCGAGACCAGCCTGTGCAACAGAGTGAGACCCCCATCTCTACTCAGAGTTAAAAATTAGCTGGGTGTAGTGTCATGCACCTGTATTCCCTGCTACTTGAGACGCTGAGGCTGAGGCAGGAGGAGCACTTGTGCCCAGGAGATCAAAGCTGCAGTGAGCTATGATCGTGCCATTGCATTTTAGCCTGGTGACAGAGCAAGGCCTCGTCTCAAAAAATAACAATGATAAATAAATAAATAAGACATGGACTGGGTGCGGTGCTTCACACCTGTAATCCCAACACTTTGGGAGGCCAGGTGGACAGATTACCTGAGGTCAGAAGTTTGAGATCAGCATGGCCAACATGACAAAAACCCATCTCTACTAAAAATACAAAAATTAGCCCGCCTGTAATTCCCAGCTACTCGGGAGCCTGGGGCAGGAGAATTGCTTGAACCTGGGAGGTGGGGGTTGCAGTGAGCTGAGATTTCGTCATTGCACTCCAGTCTGGGAGACAGAGCAAGACTCCATCTCAAAAATAAATAATCATGGCCGGGCGCGGTGGCTCAAGCCTGTAATCCCAGCACTTTGGGAGGCCGAGGCGGGTGGATCACAAGGTCAAGAGATCGAGACCATCCCGGTCAACATGTTGAAACCCCGTCTCTATTAAAAATACAAAAAATTCCGGTGGCTCAAGCCTGTAATCCCAGCACTTTGGGAGGCCAAGGCGGGTGGATCACGAGGTCAAGAGATCGAGACCATCCTGGTCAACATGGTGAAACCCCGTCTCTACTAAAAATACAAAACATTAGCTGGGCATGGTGGCACATGCCTGTAATCCCAGCTACTCAGGAGGCTGAGGCAGGAGCATTGCCTGAACCCAGGAGGCGGAGGTTGCGGTGAGCTGAGATTGTGCCATTGCACTCCAGCCTGGGTGACAAGAGTGAAACCCCATCTCAAAAAAGAAAAAATCAGCTGGGCATGGTGGTGCATGCCTGTAATCCCAGCTACTCAGGAGGCTGAGGCAGGAGAATTGCCTGAACCCAGGAGGCGGAGGTTGCGGTGAGCCGAGATCGCGCCATTGCACTCCAGCCTGGGTAACGAGCGAAACTCCGTCTCAAAATAAATAAATAAATAAATAATAAAAATACAAAAAATAAATAATCATAATAAAAGACATGAAGAGGCCGGGCGCGGTGGCTCATGCCTGTAATCCCAGATCTTTGGGAAGCCGAGGTGGGCGGATCACCTGAGGTCGGGAGTTTGAGATCAACCTGATCAACATGGAGAAACCCCATCTCTAGTGAAAATACAAAATTAGCCGAGTGTGGTGGCACATGCCTGTAAACCCAGTTACTCAGGAGGCTGAGGCAGGGGAATCGCTTGAACCCGGAAGGCAGAGATTGCGGTGAGCCAAGGTTGTGCCATTGCACTCCAGCCTGGGCAACTAGAGTGAAACTCGTGCTTGCTTCGGCAGCACATATACAAAAATTGGAACGATGCAGTGAAGATTAGCATGGCCCCTGCACAAGGATGACACGCAAATTCGTGAGGCATTCCATGTTTTTAAATTATTTTTTTACAAAAAAAAAAAAACAACAGGAGTGAAACTCTCAAAAAGGAAAAAAAAAAGACATGAAGAAAGAGAAACATAATGAAATGCATAAAATGTTAACATTCTGGCTGCCTTTGGGTTGTGTTGATTTTTGCTGTGGTTGTTTTACTTTTCTGTGTTTTCCAAATGTATTACAGTTAATTACATTTTTTTTTTTTTTTTTGAAGGAAAGGCTCTCAGGGGCTAAAATAGGAGTTGCTAATCATGACAATCATCTTTATTTTGATTTAAAAAAACCTTGGAGCCAACGTTCTTAGTATTCTTCAGCAAGCCCAGTGTTCATCCACAAATTATTTCTGGTACCTACAATGTGTAGATGCTAAAAAGATATTGAAAGAAACACAGAATGGGATCAGACAAGGATCCTAAAATCAAGGAGCATCATCCAGTGGTTTGAAAAAACACATCTTCAGACAACTATAAAACAAATTATAAAATATATAGAGAGGAGGTATAGGAAAACATGTTGAACAGTTATCAGTGTGGTATGTGCAATGTGCATGTGAATAGAAATGGCTGAATGGTAAATTGGAGACAGATCATGAAAGCTATAAATGCCAGGGTAAGGAGTGTACTGTTAAATTGGAGCGCTGTAAGTAGCTATTGAAGGGTTTTAAATCTTTTATTATCATTATTATTGTTATTATTATTATTATTATTATTATGAGACAGAATTTTGTTCTTGTTGCCTAGGCTGGAGAGCAATGGCACAATCTCTGCTCACTGAAACCTGTGCCTCCTGGGTTCAAGTGATTCTCCTGCCTCAGCTTCCCAAGTAGCTGGGATTACAGGTGCCTGCCACCAAGCCCGGCTAATTTTTTGTATTTTTAGTAGAGATGGGGTTTCACCATGTTGGCCACGCTGGTCTCGAACTCCTGACCTCAGGCCTCGCAAAGTGCTGGGATTACAGGCATGAGTCATCACACCTGGCCTATTATTATTATTATTATTTTGAGATAAGTTCTCGCTCTGTCACCAAGGCTGGAGTGCAGTGGCACAATCACACTGAAACACTGGCGCTGAGATTCGTGGTGCTTTTTTCCCAGGAATCTCTTGGCCTGGCTCCCTGTTTCAGTTCCCTTTTTAATCAGATGGATGGGCGACTCTGCCTTCCTGGAGCTCCAATCGCCAGCTAAAACAGTCCACAGACCCGTATATTTGTACGGAGAACCACTGCACTGGGGCACTGGCAAAACAGCCGCATAAGCCAAAATAGCTGCACTGGCCAAAACAGCTGCACTGGTGACCCATTACTCCGCCTGGGAATCTCCTGGTCTGTGGGCAGTAAAAATCCATCTGGAAATGTGGCGTCCACTCACCCTCTGCGCTTTCACTGGGAGCTGCAATCCTGAGCTGCTCCTAATTGGCCATCTTGGATCCCTCACCTCTTTGTTTGTTTTGCTTTTTAAATCATGATCTCTATGAAATATGCTTCAAGAAACTTTTTGGAAATAAACTGGAATAGAAATGAGACTAAAGACTAGCAGAGCAATTAGTTATGCCAGCACAATAGTTCAGATGAGAGATAACGAAATGGACCTTGGCTAGTACATGTGGAGGTAAAGAGGAGGGGCATTCAATTGAAGAGATAGAGAGGGTAGTTGGAGATGAAGGTCAGAAGTGCCTATCTCATTAGGTCAAGGAGTTATTACCATCCTCTGAATAATGTATTTCAAAAACTATCTCCACATTATGATTTTGTAAAATTTTCACCTGTCTCCTAATCCCAGCCTGCCAGGCAGGAGAATTACACTAGAGGCTATGGGTGGTATGCTAGAGTGGAACTAGAGTTTTTCTATTTCTGTTTTCCAGTACATGTATGATATTTGGGTCTTGGACAGCAGCAACACAAATAACTTTTCCATAAGAAAAGGGTTTTGTTTTGTTTTGCTGAGATGGGGGTCTCACTATAGCCCAGGCTGATCTCAAACTCCTGGGCTGAAGCAATCCTCCTGCCTCAGCCTTCCAAAGTGCTGGGATTATGGGTGTGAGCCACCACACCTGGAGGAAAAGTTTTCTTACGTTGAACAATGTGTTTGTGATAACAAATGGTTCAGTGCAGGCCAACCTGATGGGAAGAGGTGGATAAGGATAGCCTCTCAGGTGTCACAGTATCCCTGGGCTGGAGAAGCTCTGTGCAAGAAGTTCTCTCCCAGAGCTAGACCAACCAGAACACAGGTTTTGGGCTTTCACAAGGATTATTGTTTAAGTTGCACACCTAACTGCCTGGTGAGTGGTTCTCTGCACCCTCTCCCTCTTTTTTTTTTTTTTTTTTAGACGGAGTTTCACTCTTGTTACCCAGGCTGGAGTGCAATGGCACGATCTCGGCTCACCACAACCTCTGCCTCCTGGGTTCAGGTAATTCTCCTGCCTCAGCCTCCTGAGTAGCTGGCATTACAGGCACGCGCCACCATGCCCAGCTAATGTTTTGTATTTTTTTAGTAGAGACGGGGTTTCACCATGTTGACCAGGATGGTCTTGATCTCTTGACCTCGTGATCCGCCCGCCTCGGCCTCCCAAAGTGCTGGGATTACAGGCGTGAGCCACCGCGCCCGGCCTCTTCTTTTCTTAAGAGCCAGAGTCTGGGCCAAGCAAGATGGCTCATGCCTGTAATCCCAGCACTTTGGAAGGCCAAGGTGGGTGGATCACCAAAGGTCAGGAATTTGAGACTAGCCTAGCCATAAGGTGAAACCCCGTCTCTACTAAAAATACAAAAATTAGCCAGGCATGGTGGTGAGTGCCTATAATCCCAGCTACTCGGGAGGCTGAGGCGGAAGAATCTCTTGAACCTTGGAGGCAGAGGTTGCAGTGAACTGAGATTGCACCACTGCACACCAGCCTGGGTGACAGGGTGAGATTCTGAAAAAAAAAAAAAAAAAAAAAAAAAAAAAGGTGGGGGTCAGAGTCTGGGTCTGTCCCCCAGGCTGGAGCACAGTGGTGCGGTCCTAGTTCACTGCAGCCTTGAACTCCTAGGCTAAAGCAGTCCTCTTGCCTCAGCCTCTCAAGTAGCTAGGCCTACAGGCTGGCACCACCACTCCCAGTTATTTTTTAAACTTTTCCTTACCTTGGCCTCCCAAATTTCTGAGATTGCAGGTGTGAGCCACTGTGCCCTGCCCCTTCCTGTCGGCTTCTGTGATCTTACTAAACAGCCGAGCTTTCCTCTTGCATGCCTCTTTCATCATCCTTTCACCTTCTCTCTAGGGTTAGGTAATTCCCACTCATTCAGCCCAGCCCTGCACAAGATAAAGTTCAGGCTGGGGACTCAGCACCATCTCTTTCTGGTGTTTCCTAGGTAGCCAGTCCTCTTCCACCTCTGGCCTTTTATATATTTTTTTCCTTTTAAGTATGATTTTCTTTGTACCAAAACCATGCCAAGAAATAGAAGCAGAAAAGTTCTACTGAAGCTAAAATAGTTTTCAATTTGAGGTAGCTTAAGGTATATATTTTCACTTAAGCTATAGATTAGAACTTTTTGGTACTATGGGGAAACTTTTTATAATACGTGATCATGGAATTATTACTTTAAAGGAAGTTTAACCAGAGATCAAACATAGTCTTTCTAAAGGGCTTTTCTTTACTCTCTTGCTCCCTAAGGCATTCTCTGATGTGGTCATGCTGAGAACCAGGACAGTTTCTTTTTTCTCTCCCTTTTTTTTAAAGCTTTAGAGGAAGGCTAGCTTGTAAAAATAAAACCAGAAAGGCAAAGATCCTCAATGCTTTTTTTTGTGATGCAAGATCTTATAAAAATCTAAAATCCATATTTGCTTCTAGAAACTTTAAAAAACACATTCATTATTTCATTTAACATTTGTTGAACCTTCATTGTGTTCTATGACCTGTGCCAAATGCTGAGGATAGAAAGAAAAATGAACAATATTCCTCTAAAAGTGCTCTAGTGAATCCAGTGAAGATCTAGTGGAGAAGATACACAAGTGAACAAATAGTTACAATAGTTTGTGTTGAGAGTATGAGAAATGAGCTGTGGAAGTGCAGAGAGGAGACCACATTATTCCTACGAAGTGGCTGGAAATGGCTACACAGGAAAGATAACATTTGACTTGTGTCTGGAAATAGAAGTAGGAGTTTTCCAGGTGAATGAGTAAAGAAAGGTCATTTCAGCAGAAATATTGCAGGAGCAAAGCAGGGAGGTGTGATAGAGAATATCATGATTGGAGAATTACAGGATTTAATATTGGCTGTGGAGTAATATTTGTGTTGAAAAGGGTGGAAAGACCAGTCAGGCTCAGTAGCTCACACCTGTAATCCCAGGATTTTGGGAGGCTGAGGCAGGAGGATTGCTTGAGGCCAGGAGTTGGAGACCAGCCTGAGTAACAAAGTGAGATCCCATCTCTACACAAATAAAAATTTAAAAAATAAAAAAATCAGCTAGTCACAATGGCATGAGCCTACAGTCCCAACTACTTGGGAGGCTGAGGTGAAAGGATCACTTGGGCCCAGGAGCTTGAGGTTGCAGTGAGCAAGATCACATCACTGCACTTCAGCTTGTGTGACAGAGCTCTTGCTCAAAAAGAAAAAAAAGGTGTGTCAGGGGGTGTGGAATAAGGCTAGATAGGGAGATGGGAAATAGAGAGCAAAGGACTTGGTATTTAGGAGTTTGGACGTGGTTCTATAGGCCGCTATAAGGAGCCACTAGCCATATGTGGTTATTTACATTAAAATTAAATTAAAATCCAGATTCTGAATCACACTAGTCACATTGCAAGTACTCAATAGCCACATATGGTTGCTAGCTATCTATTGGACAGAGCAGATATAGAACATTTACATATTCGCAGACAGTTCTGTTGGACAGCACTGCTATAGGCAGTGTGTGAAGGGCATTAAACAACCTTGGGCAAATAAGTGACATGGTCATATTTATGTTTAGAAATATCACTCTGATAGCAGCATAAGGAATGCATAGAGGCTGGGTATGGTTGGCTGCACCTGGCG